TCTGTAAACTGTAAATCAACTTGCTCTCTAGATTGGGGACGATTTCTGAGTGAAATAGAAGCGTAGCCACAATAGGAAGTTCAGAGACTCAGCATCACTTGGTACAGTGGGCTTTGGGGCAATGACATTTATGGCAAAGCAAAGTATGCAGTCCCACATTTATTTTGTGAAGAGGGATAGCAGTTGCTGTAGTGCAGTTGTTACCTCCTTCCTAAAGTCTCTTTTTCCCAGCCAATTGTGAAAATAGAGCTAGAAGTGGAAAATGTAGAGATAGCAGGCCTGGCTTAGTGTCAGACTGCAGTTGTTCTATGCTCCTATCCAAACAAAATACTATGTGTTCCTGCATGGAAATCCTTCCTCTGCATATTTTTACAGCTTCTCTGTAGCTAGCAGTGTCTTGTATGTATCCATCTTGTACAGGTAAACTGTTTTTATTGAAATCACAGAATCACAGAATCACCCGGGTTGGAAGGGACCTCAAGGATCATGGAGTTCCAACCCCCCTGCCTAGCAGGGCCACCAAACACACACATTCAGATCAGGTTGCCCAGGACCCCGTCCAACCTGGCCTTGAACACATCCAAGGACGGGGCATCCACAACCTCCCTGGGCAGCCCGTTCCAGGGCCTAACCACTCTCCTTGTAAAGAACTTCCCCCTAACATCCAACCTAAATCTTCCCTCCTTCAACTTGGATCCATTTCCCCTGGTCCTGCTGTTGTCAGCCCTTTTGAAGAGTTTACTCCCCTCCTGGGTGTAGGTTTCCTTCAGGTATTGATAGGCTGCAATGAGGTCACCCCGCAGCCTTCTCTTCTCCAGGCTGAACAAGCCCAACTCCCTCAGCCTGTCCTCATAGGGGAGGTGCTCCAGCCCCCTGATCATCTTAGTCGCCCTCCTCTGGACCCTTTCCAAAATCTCAATGTCTTTCTTGTACTGAGGGCTCCACACCTGGACACAGTACTCCAGATGGGGCCTCACAAGAGCCGAGTAGAGAGGGACGATCACCTCCCTGTCCCTGCTGACCACCCCTCTCCTGATGGAGCCCAGGATCCCATCCCCCAAATGTGGGTAAAAATGTCCTGATATTTTGATGTTTTTAAGAAGTTCTTAAAAATGTAGGTGGTAGGTATTTTAGACATCTGAAAAGATCTTTTAAAACTTGGACAGTGAACTAGGACAAGGGGAAGAAAGAGTGATGAGCAGAGGGAAAGGAAAATAATTAGAAAAGAAACTTCCTGAACTGTTTTTAATGTGTCCTGGAGCTACTGCTCTCAGTTTATGTGGTCCCTGAAGAGGTAATTTTGATCCAAATTCAAACTGCATATCCTAGGTAATTCTGATGGATGTTTGGACAACCAGCGTACTGGTGATTTAAGATTATAAAATTTGTGTTCTAGTTAACTTTAAGTTAATTGACACCTATAATTCTTCCATAATTTTGTCATTAAAATAGACATTGCTTTGTTCTCAGTCTGCAGCTCTTGACCTGCTCCTGTTCTTGTAATGCTAAGCACTTTTACTGTGAAGTAATATTCATATTCTTTTTCAAAAAAGAAAAACAAATCCCAAATGAACTAGAAAAGCTTCAGATATTGATATCATAGAATCATAGAATCACAGAACGGCCTGGGTTGCAAAGGAGCACAGTGCTCATCCAGTCCCAACCCCTGCTGTGTGCAGGTTGCCAACAGCAGCCCAGGCTGCCCAGAGCCACATCCAGCCTGGCCTTGAATGCCTCCAGGGATGGGGCATCCACAGCCTCCTTGGGCAACCTGTGCCAGTGCCTCACTGCCCTCTGAGTGAAAAACTTCCTCCTAATATCCAACCTAAGCCTCCCCTTCTCAGTTTAAGACCATTCCCCTTTGTTCTATCACTGTCCACCCTCACAAACAGCCATTCCCCCTCCTGTTTATATGCCCCCTTCAAGTGCTGGAAGGCCACAATGAGGTCTCCCTGGAGTCTTCTCTTCTCCAAGCTAAACAAGCCCAGTTCCCTCAACCTTTCCTCACAGGAGAGCTGCTCCTGCTCCAAGAGCTCCACATCTTTCCTGTACTGGGGGCCCTGGACGCAGTGCTGCAGATGGGGCCTCACAAGAGCCGAGCAGAGGGGGACAAACAAGGGGGACGATCACCTCCCTCTCCCTGCTGGCCACCCCTTTTTAATGCAGCCCAGAACACAGTTGGCCTTCTGGGCTGCAAACACACACTGCTGGCTCATGTCCAGCTTCTCATCCACCAGGACCCTCAAGTCCTTCTCCACAGGGCTGCTCTCAAGGAGATCTTCCTCCAGTCTGTATAAATACCTGGGATTGTCCCGACCCAATTGCAGCACCCTGCACTTGGCCTTGTTGAACCTCATTAGGTTCACATGGGCCCACTTCTCCAGGCTGTCCAGGTCCCTCTGGATGCTTCCCTTCCTTCCAGTGTATCAACTGCACCGCTCAGCTTGGTGCCATCTGCAGACTTGCTGAGGCTGCACTTGATGCCATCATCTGTCATTGATGTAGATGTTGAAGAGCACCGGTCCCAAGACCAACCCCTGAGGGACACTACTTGTGGCCAGCCTCCACCCTGACACAGAACCATTGATCACAAGCCCTTGGCTGTGACCAGCCAGCCAATTTCTAATCCACCAAACAGTCCATCCTTCAAATCCACCCCTCTCCAATTTAGAGAGAAGGATGCGGTAAGGGTCCATGTCAAAGGCCTTGCAGAAGTCCAGGTAGATGACATCTACTGCCCTTCCCCCATCCACCAATGCCATCACTCCATCATAGAAGGCCACCAGATTGGTCAGACAAGATCTGCCCCTGGTGAAGCCATGCTGGCTGTCTTGAATCACCTCTTGATCTCGTATGTGCCTTAACACAGCTTCTATGAGGATCTGCTCCATGATCTTCCCAGGCACAGAGGTGAGGCTCACCAGCCTGTAGTTCCCCGGGTCTTCTTTTCTCCCTTTCCTAAAAATGGGAGTAACGTTTCCCTTTTTCCAGTCACCGGGAACTTCACCAGATGGCCATGATTTTTCAAATACAATGGAGAGCAGCTCGGCAACCACATCAGCCATCTCTTTCAGAACCCTAGGATGGATATCATCCGGCCCTATGGACTTATATGCATTCAGTTTCATGAGGACTTGGACTTGTTCCACCATTACAGTGGGATGGAAACCACTCCCCACACCCTCACCTAGAGGCTCACGGTCCTGGAAGACATGGGAAGCCTGACCACCTGTGAAGACTGAGGCAAAGCACTCATTGAATACCTCTGCTTTTTCTAGGTCTGAGCAACCCATTACGTTTCATCAGAGGGGGAACACTCTCTTTGGCCTGTCTCTTCCTGCCTATGTACCTGTAGAACCCCTTCTTGTTATCTTTCACATCCCTTGCCAGGTTCAGCTCCATCTGTGCCTTGGCTTTTCTAATCCTATCTCTACACACACAGACAACAGCACTGTATTCCTCCCAGGCTACACAACCCTGTTTCCACTTTCTGTACATTTCCCTCTTTTCTCTCAGTTCAAACTGCAGGTCCTTGCACAGCCACGACGGACGCCTGCCTCCCCTGCTTGATGACTTCTGCTGGGGGGTGGAGAGCTGATGCGCTCTCTGAAGGGTGTCCTTAAAGAGCTGCCAGCTCTTCATCCTAAAAAACAAAAGTAAAAAAACCCAAATCTGTAGGAAATGCTGCATGTAAGAAATAGTTTCTAGAAGTTTATATAGACATGTACTTTATGCATGGTTAAGTAATAAAATTTCAAGTCTTTTTGGTGCTATACTACATGCTAAAAGAAAGCCATTCACTGTAGCAAGAAGCTTGTAAACTGAGTCCAGTATCAAAACACTCATAAGTTTTTTGTAGTTTAAATATAAACGTATTTCTGAGAGTGGCTATAGGAATTGAGTAATCTGAATTGATTAATTTTCATGTCAGTAAGAGACAAAGAAATGGAATGTATGGATCCAGGTAGGAGACTGCAGGAGGGTAGGGATGGGCCAGGAGTCCAATGAAAAGAAAGAAATGGAGTATTTAAACTTTCTTTTTACAGACAAGGAGTGACAGGGAATTTTTGCAGAGATCAGAACATGCACAGAGGCTGGGTTTTTAGAGCCTCTTAGGCAAGAGTGAGAAATTAAAGACAAATTTTTGAACAAGGTCTAATGATTTAAAAATGACCATCTCAGTTGGGATGAGGCTTCAGATAAGTCTTTTACTCAGAATTTTGAGCTACTTCTCTAGACTGAAAAGAAAATAATCCACAAAGCTAAACAACTAACAAAAAATTGCAAGTCCTGCTGAAACATTAACTGAACTGTGATTTATTTGCATATGTTAGGGAAATGTGGAAATGTTCTCCTGTGTGGAAATATATTTAATTGCATGTTGTGGTTTAGTGATGTTTTGTTGTCAGTCTTCCACATCAGAACATCATGTGGACCAGGGGGAGTTAACAAGTTAACATTTTGGTTCCATTTACTGCCTTTTGTGGACTCTTTGAGTATCCTGATGGGAGGGGAGGGGGCGGCATCCCCGGAGGACCTGGCGGGCAGAGGCAGTGGGCTGGAGCTGTGGCCAGGACCCGGAGCGTCTGCTGCTCTCTGTCTGGCCCGGCTCAGCCGTCTCAGCTCGCCGTGGAGAAAGCATGTGCTTTCCCTCGCACTATCGTGGTTTGACTCTCATTTTTTTATACTCTCGTCTCTCTCGTTTTGTTTGATTTAGTTAGATTCAGTAAATTACCCTTCCTCCTCAGATCGTTGCCGTTGTGTTTTCTCTTTGTTAAAACTATCGGCTAGCTCTCTGCCCTTCCCCTCTCCAGGAGCGTACCTCCCGTCTCGGCACGCCCTTTTTTTTTTCCCGGGTCCTGTGCCCTCCTGTCACGGACTTATATCTAGGGATAACCCGTGACACTGCAGAAGTTTTCTTCTTAAATCATAGTATTTTCTAATGTGACAGAATAGTGACTGGCTCCTTCTCTGCTGTTGCTGTTAAATGGTATTTTCTTTCCTAGGATTTGGACGTGGCAGAGGGAGAGGAGCAAGGAGGTTTTCAGCCCAAGGCATGGGGTAAGAGACACGCAGAGCACAGATTTTAGGGAGGATCAATCTGACTGGCAATACTGATTGCCACTGTATGTATTGATATTTCTGTATGTATGATTAATCAATATGGATGCAAAAGTTCACAGATCTGTTAGATAATAAATTGATATATGTATTTTTTGTTTTAAACTAATATTTGTAACTAGATACACTTATACAGACCTAATCTGAGTTCACTCAATATTAGTATATTAAACTTGGAAAACCCATTTGATCAGTAACAGCCACAGAGAGCCTAGGAGGCTGAAATGTTCTGTGTGATCCTAGGTCTATTTAAAAAAGATTTGTTTTAATGTAACATGGAATGTGAGTCCTAAATAAAACAGGTAGACTATTGATTACGAACTTTCTCCTGCTTTTGAGGTTTTATGATTTATCTGTTTGGACATGCACACACCCTAAAAAAGAATCAAAGGAAGTTACCAAGTAGCTCTTAAGATCATTCTCAGTTTTGTCAGAGTAACTTGATTCAGAGAAGCATAGCCTCCACTTATTTCAGTGTTTGCTTCCAACGATATTTCATGTAACGTCAGTGATGTCATGATGAACTGATGGCTAGTTCTACTTCTCTAATAATCCTTCTCGTTCACAATTCCAATGCTAAACTGAAAGGAAGTTTTTCTGTAATAGTCCTTTTCACCTGCTATGTACATCTGTGTTTTTTTGGAATTGGTATCAGGAGTTCATTCTGAAATACTTTTACCAACTACTGTCCTGCTCAAGTCTGGTGCTCTGAAAACACATGCCACTAGTTTCTCATCAGTCAGCCACAGATAAACTATCAGCTGAGAAAAGCTTAATGCTGAGCATATAAATTGGTACTTTATTGGATGGAGAGGGATAGGTATGCTGTTAACTGCTTTTATAGGAATTCTTATTTTGGGTCAGTTTCTCAATAGTTCAGTAGTCTCCTTGCTTTTTTCCTTTTATTACTTTTTTTTTTTTTTTTTTTTTTTCCCTTTTTTTTTTTTTTTTAAACAATGTCTGCTCATAAAGGAAAGATTTCTTTGGAAACAAAAATGACAGATAACTATATGTGGAAATTGTGATATTAAATGTAACACAACTTCAGCTAAAAGTGATGACACTTGTGTTCAGTGAATGACCTGTGTGTTCTCTTCCATTTCTTAACCTTTAAAACCGTAGGACATTTAACCCTGCAGACTATGTGGAGTCTTCTGCTGATGACTTTGGAACAAAATCAGAGATTTGGGAGATTGGTCGGAATGATGCAGATGATGGCACAGGTAAGATGCTTCCAGAAGTGAAAGGATTGGAATGAAGACCTATAGCAAATTACAGTTAACTGTAAACTAACAGAATGGTTATTTTAACTTCTAAGAATGTAAATAAATTTCACATGGCAAAGATTTCATTTTTATAGCTTAACTGCTGCTAAATTGCAGAGAACATGTTGTAGCCTGGTTAATTATCTGGTTAAGTTGAAGGGAAAGCAATTGGAAATTTTGTTCTGTTTAGTACTATAACAATCCTATGAGAAACAAATGAATTTGAGGAGTTATTGAAAGAACTTTGTATGTGAAGAATTGTTTAGATATCTGAAGTACTGCTTAAGATCTCACCTAATTGAAGTTAAGGGTCTAAGTACTGCTAAATGCAGTTGGTTAACAGGCATTGAGCAGTAGGATCTGATTATCTAAGTAGAAGCAAAAAGAAATGAAAAAAAATTGATAACTATAAATCTACTTGGTGACACTGAGATGGCTGTGGAAGCTCCACCTATACAGCATAGGAACCTGAGTATGTGAATGTCTGGGATAGAGGAGAGGTCCAAGATCTGTCACCTTTGAGGAGAAGAATTCTCAACTAAAGCACGAGTAGGCACTTGAACAGAAACCAAAAGAACAGTCTGCCTTTCTGAAGATAGAGGCAGCCATAAGTTTTTACATGAAGTTTCAAGTAAGAAATGTGCACTTCTGGCTAAAGGCAAGAGATGAGTCTGGAACTAAACCACTTAACAGTGGTAACAGTGGTGATTCAGAAATGATAAATGTGACCTGTTCATCTATGATGTGGAAAAACAAGATAGATTGCTACTTACTATACTCTGTGGCAAAAGATGAAGACAAAAGCAGGCCTGTCTCATAATGAAGTAATTAATTTATGTTATTATCCACACTTGGGAACCGCCAACTGATGAAAGAGACTCTTAATTGCTGAAGCCAGCTTAAATGATTTTATTTTGTCACACCCCCTCTGTCCAAGTGTGGAAGGAGAATACTGATACTGGAGACCAGTGTGTTTTTGTTAAGCACTGCAGTGAGCTTCTTAAGGTGCAGCTTTCTGAACTTTATAAAAGCTGTTTTTCACTTAACCAGAGACAGTAATAACAGGGTCAGAGTTCAGGTGGACTTATTAGACATCTGTCTTATCACTCTTGAATGTCTAGTAGTCCAGTGTGGGAAAGTGGCACTAAGTATATTGTTTGCTATTGAAAGGGAACTCTTTTGCCAAAGACGGCATGTTTCCAGGAAATTACTCTTTAAATGACTTGGTGCATGACCAAGGAGCATGCCTTTTACTTTCACTTGTGTTAGTTTTTCAGATACATTTATCAGGTAAGGAGTTAGAAGGGTAGCTAATGACATGAAAATGCACCTAAGAATACTGATGCTGTTTTTTGCTGTATAGTAGTGGAGAACAGGATATATTGTCCACAAGTATTACAGAAGCAGTAAGATTATCTGACTAAAGAAGATATACCAGAAAGGCACGAGAAGATAGGAACAGAGGTAGAAAATTGACTGGCTATTTATTGAGATAACTAGGAAGCCGTGGCTTTTCTAATTCCTGAGTGAGTTTGAATGTTTTGTGACTTTCCCTGTGACCTGTGTATCCTTCTTATACCTCTCCCTTGCAACCTCTGTTCCCTCTTGTGGATATCTCCTCAGTTTTGAATAATGGAAGAATTCTGACCAGAAATGAGAGTGTCTGGGTATGACTGACTAGATCTCTAGAGAGTATGAATGTGTTGTATAATCAATGGATATCAAGATGTTACAATAAAATCAAGAGTTAGGCAAAGCGGACAATGATAACAAAAGCAAATAAAATGGGAGGCTTACCCTTCAGCTGGGCTCACCACAAAACACCAATAAAGGCAATCTCCAGCAGAAATCCTTCCCCTCTGGTAGCCAGCTCTTCAATAGGTCTAGGAGGGGTGCAGCCTGGCTCCCCCCCTTCCGGCAGCACAGGTGAATTGCCTTCACCTGTGCTCCTCTGGCTGACTCATGGCTCACCTCAGGTGATCAGTCAGAGGTTCAGGCCCTGACTCAGCAGTTCCCATATATGTGTCTACTCTAAGGGGTTTGCTTCTAAGCAAAGTAGTGGAATTTGAAAGTTTTCTAGCTTTTGCATGCAGTTTGTTTTTTTGATGCCATCTATGTTTTTGCTGTTAAGTCCTATGCATGTCAGCAAGAGTTACACTGGATTTCAGTAAAGCACCTTAAGGCATGTATGCAAAATTGGGGAGTGAAGCCAAGAAAGCCGACAGAGTAACTTGACATGCTAATGAGTTATGTCAAGTAGGTATTCCCTTTATTACAGAGCTGGGTGCATGGGGGATCACTCCACTGAACATGCACACCAAAGGGATAAACAACTACATATTTAAAGACATAGCACATGCATATTCATTATATTCCAAGAAAACAGGCTGAAATTCCGAGAAATAATTAACATATTGCCCCACCCTCCTGAATATGCATTCTAAATACATGGTGGGGGTCTCTGGTGGTTGTGGGATGAAGGCTAGTAATCAGTCATCCTTGCTGTGAATTTATGACCTTTTAAGGGGGGGGTAGCCTGAACCAGTTCCAACGTGTTACATTGAGTTGAGGCATCTGTTTTGCCATCTTCAACAACAGGACATCTGTTCTACTTTCTTATCTTTACTTGACAAATTTTGCAGCCTCCACATTTTGTTCTTGAGCTTACATTTACACAAGCCTTCTGTCTTTCAGCTTGTATCTGCTCAAGTTATGCGAAAGGCTGTTCTCATAATATAGAAAAGCTGTTCTCGATTCAGGAGTGTGATTAGATGTTTCCTTGGCCTTATTGACTCTTAGAAGTATGAATGAGTGTGTTGATGTGGGAAGATTTCAGCAGGTGAGGGGTGTTTGTCAATGTAGGGAGTTCTCTATATAATAATTTGGTGAGTGGAATTTTAATGTAGTCAACTCTGAATGTCCTTTATTGTTGCTAAGTAACTTTTTGCTGTTAATCTTCCTTTACTTTCAGTACAAAGACATCATAACCGACAGAACAAAATTTTTTTTGTATATATATCAGTATGGGAAAAGTTTTATTTTACAATGCTGCTTCTTTAGACAAGTCCAGACAAATCTTTGGAATGCCAGAAAAGTTCCTGAAGGAAATCTTCCTTCAAGCATCAAGCAATTCTCCCCCTCAAGCATCTAGAGGGTCATTAAGGAGGAGGCTACAACTTGGACAGTGTTTTAAAACAGATTGGAGTATTAGGAAGGTAAGGAGGACAGAAAAGCTATGAGGTTGGAAGCAGGTTGTACAAAGTTGACGTGTTGATTTGACTTGTTAATCATAAATACTAATTTCGATTTTTTTATTAGTTCCTTTTAGTTTACAGTACTGTGATTGTAGTTACAAATCAACAATCCCAGTATTAAGTTACCAATATGAAAATGTTGAAGAAATGGATTACAGGACATGTTATATGTATGTGTCAACCGTTTATGGGCCCGGTTGTGTGACTAGTGGGGTGGAGGGATGTGCAGATCCGTGCCTTCAGAAAGGGGAAACAGGGGTCCCCAAAATAATTAAAACAGCGGCACCGATCTGAGGAGAAACAAACTAATTTACTAAGTATATTATCGGAATG